GGTCACCAGAGATACAAAGACAGAAATAAAAGTTTACTGCCAGAATCCTCAATTGCTCTATCCCCTGAACCTTTTTTATGTCTCTCTAACCAACACAGCCTACACAAAAAATAAGTAACTAGTGACTAACATGGCACGGCCCCATAAATCAACTCCAGTTCATCAATGAAACCACAACGGTTGGATCGTTTCCTGACACTGCATTTGAACAGAGCAGGGCTGTCCTCCAACTGGACCCCAGTAACAGGATAGCATTGTTGACTTGATAGCCAGCAGCGACTCAGATCTCTTCATCTGCCTACATCTCATAGCTGCCATCTTTCAAGGGACAAGCAAACACAATGGCATGCCCCCTCCTCCTAGCTTCAGCTGGCAAAACCAAGTAAAAGCAACGGCTGCTCTCAGCTTAACTTGGTTACTCCTATAGTTCCTGAAAAGTATCTTCAGTTCTATTCACACAAGTACTTTAATGAAAACACTGAGTTGATTTCCAAAGTTAAAATTATGTTTAAGTGTCTCCTATAAACTTCCCAACAGTGCACTACAATCTACAACTATAATGCTCACATACTAAATGTTGTGGCTAGCAGGAGATTAACAAATGCATCACCCCATACTCAGGTTATCACCTTTGATGCAGGGTTTCTATTCCAAAATCCCTACAATCTAACAAAGCAAGAGAGAGACAGCAAATACAAGGGGTATATTCTCGATTTATATAGAATGGGGAACTAAGGTATACCCAAGAGGTATTTAGGTACCTAAAGAGAGCAGCTGGAGTTAGGGGCAGCAAGAGGCAACAGAAAAGTTGGTGAATAAAAGTTACACTTAAATCACAGGACAGACATGCCTTGGGATCTTTCTCACACAGCTGTGAAAACTGAGCACCTGGTCAGAGCTTCCCTCTTGCCCTGAGTGCTTTAATCTTCATCACATAGAAGCCATGAAACATGAATAGATTTGTGTATTTGGATCAAGCCCAAGAAGAAGCTGGGATACAGCTATGACACCCATTCATATCCACCACCTGCAAAATTAGCTTACATTTTGCTGTTTAGATAAAGACTGAGAAACATTTTGACTTTCTTGTAACACCTAGGTGTGGTTATTTCAAGATGAGTGTAACTTACGTTCCCATGCAACTAAGTCTTGTATAAAGCTAAGGTTCAGAAGAATAGCAGTCCTGATCATAACTGCAGCAGTATTTTGTCTTCCATTAATCAGAGGCAGGTACGCAAGACCTTACACCCTGAGTATGACCCAGCAGCTATGTTTCAAATATTTCCTGTCTTGTCTCCTAATTTTATACTGTTGGTCCTGAGATATTCACTTCATATTTCACATCCTGTTTTATGAATAAAGGGAACCCCTCTTTAGGGAACTAGACAGTTCAGGGTAAGTCAGGTTCCTTTACCTTTGGCCGGCTACACCTTTAATACAACATGAAGGAACAATGAAGAAAGAGAAGGAATATCTTCAGATCACTGAGCGGTGGATCTGTAAAATGGCTGAGTTCATTCCTTCAAAAACAAACAAATTCCAAGTGACAAAACCCAGGACAAACAGAATCCGTGGCATCAGCCTGGCATAAGTACCATAAGGTTGAACTCACAGGAGGGAGGGCCCAACTCCAGAGCAGCATGTGGCATGCCAGCAGAGCAAGCAACGTGACTGTCATCAAGGTGCTGGTAACGTGAGTACCACTGGCACCGCAAAATTAACATGTATCACACACAGAGATCACTACCCCGAGAAAGAGCTTCAAGAAAGTGAAAAAAGTAAGTTAATTATTTTATCAGCTAAAGCTGTATAACCTTATCTGAATACTACGTATGCATTTCTGAAGCACTCATCACAAGGACAAAGTGGTGCAAGACAAACACCTTTTCCTTTTTATACTCAGTGGAACATAAAGAATCCTGTGAGCTCCAAGAGGTCTGATTATACATTTTACTTAAGTGAAAATTCTGTTGGAACAAGGCAATTCAACCACTGCAGGCAAGTGTTACAAATTAAGGCTAATCTTGATATTGAAGGGAAATGACTGTCCCCGGACTCTATAAATATATACTCTTAGGTGTTTAATTACGTCAGGATTTGCACTGGTATGCCATTGCTGTGAAGTAGAAAAGGGAAGAAAGAAGCAATACAACTTTTGACAGCAAAATAATTATATTTTACTTCCACTGGAGTTAATGGCAAAACTTCCTGACCCTACTTAAGTCAGCTGATTTTATACAAAACAATAAGATGAATTACTGAAATATCAACTGAAAAAGCACATAGTTTTACTGATTAAACAGCCTGTACTTAACAGTAAATGTCATTCCATTTCCACCGCTGGAATTTCAAAAAGATATTATAAAACAGTATCAGCTGTCACAACAGTCATCAGTACCATTTACATTTATAGAAATACTGAGATCAATCAATCTTAAAAATACGTAAGAAATGAAAAGTTCGAGCAAAGTTTCATCATTCCAGTCTTCCTTTAAGTGAGCTCCAGCATCAGCCTGCAGATCTCATCAGGAAACTTTACCAGTGGTCTTGTTAGTTGCTCATTAGTAAGATAACACTTGAAAGGTGCTCATAACATGCTACAACACATTTCCTCTTGGCAAGATGTATTTTGAAACTTAAGTAATGGAATTAAAATGGAATTTGCTGCAGTAAAGTGAGAATTCACTCTGCTTCTCCTGCTGTGATCTCATTTCCACTGCAACCAGATCAACCTATTTAATTCCTTCGGTAAGTTAGTCAGGAGGAAAGATTCATTTTTGCATCAGTTTTAGTTCACACACAGTAAACACAGCCATGTGCTACAGCTCCTTATTTGTCAAGTCAAGGAGAAAGACAAAGTTTTGCTGCTGGTTCTTTGTAAATTTGCTCTGCTTCTGTTCAGACTTCTGAGTTGCACTGTAGCATGACTTTACTCAGTTGTTTGTAAAATGAATTGATTTGTGTTCTAATATCTCCATTGTAAAGAAAATCCCTTCCCTGTATTCTTTGTGTATTAAGTAACAATACAAAAATGCTTTTTACCTAATAAAACATTAAAGGAAAAAGGAAATGTCATCTTTGAAAATTTCTACAAACTCACATCTACCATAACAGTGGGAGCATCCTATTCTATGTAGAACACAGTAGATTTTTTGTTAATAAAGATTATGTTGAAACAACATTTTTCCTGGCAATTTAATAAAACTCTTCAAATAAGACAGACAAGTATAGGGTTTGTATTTAAAGTGCTCTTTATCTGATGCAGCAAATATTTGGCCTGTATCCTTCTGGTCTCTACACAGCACTTCACAGATGATTGGGGGGAGGCGGGGGTTAAGGGAGCAGAACAAAATGTTTTAAGTTGTAGCTATTCGTTAAATAGACCTCAGTGCCAGGTGGTACGGTACTACCAGAGTGTAAAGCAAACCCAGCTTTCGAGGCTGAAACATTACCATGCACACATGTTCTTGCCACAATCTGAACAGAAGGCAGATGTTAGTGCCTGGGATTTGCAATCTCCTGCAGTTAGAAAGCAAGCTCAGGGACTAGAAAACTCACTGAAGGTAAAAGCAGCAATCAAATGAACGCACGGCGAACGTCCATGGGGCGGCCCCGGCTGGGTCGAGGTGGAAACCTGTCATTGGGACCAGCTCGTCCTGGAAGCGTAGGGTTTGCTCCAGGCAAGGAACCAATTGGGTCAAAATGTGGTCTGAAGGGAGGAAACTGGCCTGGTGCTTCTCCTGGGCCAGGAATGAGTGAGTTGATTGGGTCTCCAACATATGGAAGTGTTGGTCTCTCATCGTATTCTCCACCTATGATCACTGGGGGATAGATTGGGTTTGCTGGAAACGGGTTGGGAGGAAAAGGACTAGGATAGAATGGGTTGGGATGAAAGGGGATTGGATGAGGTGTAGGGGGCAGAAACATCATGTGCCTCCATCTCAGGGCCTCCTTCTTCTGTTTCAACTTTTTCTTGTATAGCTGCAGATAGAAACAAAGGCATTTTAAAGCTCTCCAAGTGCTTTGTGTTCCAGCTGCAGCAGTTGCATTCATTCTGCAGCACTTCTCAGAAAAGCACTCCTCAGACTGAAAACCCAGAACAGCAACTCCCCTGCCTGCCAAAGACCAAACACAGCATCTCTGGAAGACCTCTAACCCGCGATCTGCGCACACACCATGTAGCTTGTTGATGCTGTTTTCTCCTACTCTGACCAAACTCAACACGTGTACACAGAACACCGCACTTCTACACTAAATTTAACTCCAAGTTACTGCCTCCCAAAATCTATGTTCTATCCTCAAATTAGCCCACAGAGACTAACCTCAGAGAGATTATATTAGAAAAGCCACCTACTTCTTTCCAGTCTGTGTCACGAGGCCTTGCAATGGGATCTACAAAGAGAAGCAAGAAATTAGAGAGCAATCTCTCTTTATTTTTAAGTAGCATTCATGCCACTGATGCTCAGTTTTGTCAGAACTTGCAGAAGAATTAGGAGATGAAAACATACTTTTGGTCAATATATTTTTCATAAAGATAATGCATCTTAAAAAATACAAAGCTCCAGGACCACTCAATAGGTCATCTACTTCCACACCCACTCTACGTAAAGCAAAATTTACTGAACAAGTAGAGAAATCCCAGAAACACTGTCCCCATCTTGGACTTCTGACAGAACTTCCCTTGATCATCTTATTTCTTCACTCTCGAGAGCAGGAACATCTCGCTCCACTTCCTAATATCTGCAATAGCCAGTACACCAAGGTAGCCAGGGAAATAGATGAAAAAAGGGAAGTCTGCACCACACGATGGTAAGAACTATGAGGTCCATCAGTAATGGCTCAGCAGATAGTCATTAGTTTTCATGGCAGAAGACTGCCTTACACCTGACCAACTGTACTGGTTAGCATCATAAATGACTGTATTTACTCATAGTGTTTAAAAATCAGAAGTGGTTGCCTGAGGAGCCTCTCATCAAAATCCAGACTTAATCCCTCTGTTCACTTGAGAATGTAATTAGAAAAACATGTATCAACATTACCTCTGAAATCTCGCAGATACATAAACCTCCATAGAAGCTGGTCGTTTGAGGCTGTGTAGAGATCACGGCAAACAGCAGAGAGAGATATGAGTGAACGGACATCCAGAAGTCTGAAAATCCGAAGCTTGAGCTCAAGAGGAAGGACCACTAACCCAAACACATCTGGCAAGTTCAGAGCTATAAAGTGGAGAAAATAGAAGCATTACCTAAGTGTTGCAGAGTTTAGTCTATCTCTAAAGACCCTAAAACAAAGAAAGGACATTGTAATCTTTCCCTTAAATCATTTCCCTTTGATGCCCGAGTTACATCACTTTTCTCGGAAAGGACTGCGACATGATTTCTTATAAAACAGATCTCTGGCAACTCTTAAGTACATTTACCGAGTGCACAAAATAGGGCAAATGGCACTTTATACTGACCACTGCTGGCCACTGTAAGCCTAAGAAACATTCCATGTCCCTAAACATGTTTACAGGCTACAGAACAAAGGAATAGGTAAAGAAAAATAGACCCGTCCGATTTCATTAGCCCACAAAAACCACATTAAAAACAGAGCACATGCTTCACATAAAAACCTTCCTGCACTCAAGTCTAGAGGGAATTCCATTGAATAGTCTTCAGAACACAAAGCTAAGACCTTTTATGGCAATACCTATGAAAAGAAAGCTTGGCTTCCTCCTGCTCCACAAACACCAGCTTGGGTTACTGCCCACCATCCTTTCCAAGCCCTGAATGACCAGTTACTGAGAAGAACATTCCTGGCATCAGACTTCCAAATATGATACTACATTAATTTTTCTGCTTCAACAAAGAAACGGATCAGAACTACACAACTACTGCCACAGAATTATTGTGGTACGATTTTCTCACCACTAAATGTGAAAAACAGCCACTCTGGTCTCTTAAGTGAGACTAGAGCAATCAAAAATTAAACCCAGGAAATTATCATTATATTAACATTTTCTGAGCTACAAAGATTAACACAGTTTCTTTAGAATGTATAAATTACTTTATACTTAGTCTTTATATACCCATTACTGAACAGCTGTTTCTAACACTTTTCCTACAAGGCTTTAGATAACCCCCACTTCCTTCCACCCTCAAAAAGAAGTACCATCTAACTGGAAATATTTTGTCTCACCTTGTCGGGCAGCAGCCAGAAGAGAGTAAACCAGCTGGTCTTTAAAGAGACGGGATAATTTCTGAAGGTCTTTGTAAACACCTGCAACTTTCTCTATCAAAGAAGAGAGGTAAAAAACTTCAGGAGGTTATAATGCAAAAATTATATAAGAGCAGAAGAATTATGGTTTTCTTATAAGCAGAACTGTAATCTGTTTGTAATCCTCATGGGAGCAGCTCTGCAGCTGGAGTGTAAGGATCATACAGTAAGTAATTCATAGACAAACTACAGACCAGTTCCATGGTCAGCCCAGGCTTTCCTTTGGCCTTAAAAAGGCACAATTAAGAGAAATACTTGAGTTCTTCAGAAACAGACTCTCAAGCTGTCAGAGCTTCCTTTGTCAGATTCAAAGCTCATGTGTAACATGCACCTATGTCATAAATGCCGGCAAAAGTAATTTCTCTGACAGAAATGTTTTTCCATTCTGTTCTCTGAAGAAGAGGAGCCAGAGGACTCTTATCGTTTCATCAGACACATTTCAGTGCCCAGCTAATTCTTCTAAAGCCTTTCGACTAGACTTGTACATCAGCGACTGGGCTACCCAGGACACAGCGTAGGACACTGCGTCAGCCTCAGCTACCAACAAAGCAGTTCATATACTTCAGAGAACAAAAGGCTAGTGAAGTCCGTGCTCACAAGGATCCACATCTATCTGCTCTTCTCTCCTCCCCCACCTTAGTTTTCCCTATAATTTTTGCACTCTGGAGAGAGATACATGGTCAGCATGTTTTCTGACAAAAAGAACATAACAATTACAGTGCCAGAAGAGTGTAGGTACCATCAGCCTCTAAGTCCTGAGCTGCCAGGCAGAAAGCAGGTATAATCCAGCATTGCTGCCCCAGAGACTGACACACAGGCTTAGGACCTCATAAATAACAGGTATGTGGGCCAAAGGATGACTCAGGCTTTGCAAGGTTCTTTCCTTACACAGCTGATCCAATAAATTCCAATTGTTTCAACAGCAAAATGTGAGGCAATGGCTACACTCTGAATTCCTTTCACCACAAAGCTCTGACTCACCTAAATGGTAACCACATTTTTATTCTCTTTTTGCTATTCTTTACTGATTTGGTCCCCTACTGAAGTACATCCTTACTGACTGTGTGACTTCCTTACTTTTCAGTTTACTGCTATGAATAACACAGCTCAACCATACCTGGCTCCTGAAAGCAAACGAAGGATGCTGGCAATAGCTGTATTCTCTTAACACCTTTAATCTCTTTGTTGATTTTTAATGTTGCTGCAAATATAAGAGGGGGAAGGGGAGGAAAAAAAAAAAAAAAAAAAAAGACATTTCAAGATCTAAAACACACTGAAAGATAACAAAGATCACTTCATTACTGCCTTACCTGGAGGTGTTTTACCCTCCCCCCCTTACCAGCTTCCTTCAAGGAAAATACCCAACTATAGCAAGCAGGTAGAAAAATAAACATTTCCAAAAAATAAAATGGAACTTAAAATAGCAGGGAATAAACAAAGACCTTGGTGACAGAAACCAAGCATTGCCTTCAACAAATCTATCATGTGGAAAGAGATGTAACACAGCTAAGAGAGGTACACAGAAAGCCATTATTATAACCCAGTCACTAAAGAAATATTGAGTAGAGAAACACTCGACAAGCTTACTACATGAACACTACATGCATACTAGTTATAACACTGTCCTAAATCTAACCTTAACCTGACTTGGCTAAAACATTTGATCAAAATGTGTACACATCCTGAGAAAAACATATGTGCTTATACAAACTGCCATAATCAGTTATAAGTTTTACAAATAAACATAATTTTAATCAAAGGGATCTTGAAATTAGATTCAAGTCCCAATTTAATATTGGTTCTGCAAAAATGTGGAATTACTTAAATGCTAAATAAAAAATGAAAAGAAAAAAAAAAAACAAACCAACAAGCAAAAAGACAAACAAAAAACTCCAAAAAACCCCCAAGTGATATGGAAGCGGCTTCCAAAAATTTTCTGGATTGAATAGCTTAAACTAAATACAATTTTTGAGACCACAGTTAAACTGTTGGAGTGCTACAAGAAAGATTATACATTCAGGCTAAAGAATACACAGTCTGGAAGTTGTTTATAAGTCTTGCAAAGAAGAGGAGACAAGTCAAAATATTGTAGCTGGAGCAAGTCTACCTATTTTAATGTTTGGCAATGTATACCAAAGTTCCTATGAAATGAGACAAGAAACAGATTTCTACAACATTGCAATGAAAAGGCCAGCTGAATCCCCTACGGATTGATCTGTTATGATTAGAGGGAGAGAAACAGTTAACAAGGAGACAGGAAATGCCAAGAATATTCAGCATCAGGAAGCGGTATCTCTTGCACCTCAGCAACCTGGATAATCAAGGTGCAGTGCACAAAAGTTTTCTCTTGCTGAACAATGGTGATAGTTAGCAATGTGCATCCAGGATAAAAACCTGGCTAACTTACCATTAATAGCAACAAGATCTCCCAGAGGCACACAAGTCAAACCAGCAGAACCTTCTTCACAAAGGGGATGTGTGTATTGCAGCTTATAAACACCATTCCCTCTCCATTTCTCTGGCATAGACACTGCCTTAGCTTCTGTCCCCTAAAAATACACAGAGATAACACTGCCATACTTTCACAATGTACCAAGACTGAGGGGTGAAAAACTGGGAATTAAAAGTTAGGAAGTGCCAGGAAGCTGCCTGCAATTCAAATCTTAGTTTAGTCCCAATGCACATTATGATACAGACTATAATAGCATGATTACATACTATTTTTCCAAAGACTAACAACAAAACTAGTAAGAAGTTTAGTAATTTTTTGTCCTGTCCCAGTTTCTGACAGGGAAGGTTGTTTAGTGAGCAGTCACACCTATTTCTTTGAGGCATGTACTTCATTGTCATCCACTCCAGCATTCTGACAACTCCTGCATGTACGTTAATCTACTGCATGAAAAACACGTTACTGCACCTTTTCTGTGAACTTGTGAGGTCTGACAGGGCTTGAAATCCATTAAAAAAAAAAAATCTGAGTGGTCTCACAGTTTTTCCTTTCAATTTCAGTATGAAAAGGCTCAAGACAGAATCCCAGAGTGGGACACATAATTGCGACTACAAGTAGACTCTCTCTTCCCCCCCCAAATCTGCACAGAAATCATGATCTTCCCTACTTTCAAGCCTAATGATTGACATAAACAAACTCCTTCCCAGCAGAAATCATGATCTTCCCTACTTTCAAGCCTACTGATTGACATAAACTCCTTCCCAGTGGCAAATGTATTTCAGGCTACAGCAATGCAACTAACTTTGCAGATTTATTAAACTGGTATTGGTCAACCAGACACCTGAACTGACCCCCTACGTGTGCTTAGTCAGCCTCATGGCAAGAAGAAACATGAGAATCTAAACACCTTCCCCAAGAGCAATTCTTTTTTCACATGTTTAACCTCATATGAGTAAACACACAATGCAAATCTGAAAATCTAAAGGGAAATGGTGAATTCATACATTGTACAGAGGTACTGCCATAGGTGCTCGACTACGAGTTAGATACCTCTGTAGGTTAGTGGAACCAAAGCCTAACTGAACTCAGCTGAAGTTAATACAGAATTGGAGGCAACACTTTAGCAGACCTAGGCCTTGTTAACCACCATTTAAACATGATACCATCGAGATGACACTGATGCTCAAGGCAGTGCTTCAAAGAAGTGCTACCATCTAACCACACCTACACAAGCTCAACAGTATAAAGCAGAAACAGGAGGTTATCAGTTGGGTCCCAGTGAGCCTGAGGACTGAAAGAAACATGGGGACAGGCCTCTTCTCACACTTAAAAGCTGTTCCAGTCTTTAGCCTTAAGGGTTACTGGTCAGGCAAATTAAGAGAAGCTGATAATTAAGCAGCCTCTGCTGCTGCATGACACATACAAAGTCAGAAGTGGATCTTCAGATGCCTCTTGCATCACACATTCCCACGATATTCCACAGCTTTCTCATACCGACCAAGATATTTCCTCATTGGTTGTGCACCTACCTGAGGTACATAGCCTGCCTCCATCATGAGAAGATGTACTAGAACAATCAAGGCATCAGTGGCACTGGTACACTCAGCAGAAAGGTAGAGCATCTCTAAGGAATGTGGTATTTCACCATCAGCAGCTTCACTGCACAGCATCGGTTCAGAGGGATAGGAACCCGTATTTTCTTCCAGGTCAACATCTTCTGGGACTAATCCAGAAGGAAATTCTAGGCTGGATCCTGCCTTCAACGAAAAGCAAAACATACCTTCATTCAGAAAAGTACATCTCTATATGCATCAATATTATTTGTCTGCTTATTCCAGTCCTCACAGGCACCAAGTCTACTGACTTCTCATGCAAGTTGTACAGATTCATTACATCTCCATTTTCTGGCACCCCAGCTGGAGACTGGATCATATACATAGCCTCTGTAATTTCTGGCATTTATAACGCAAGCCCTTCATAAAAGGGTCTGTCATTTGATTGCATATACTACTTGAAGTGATAATATATTAAACCTTCATCAGAATGTTTGCAACATAAACAGGAATAATTTACTCACTGTAGTACCACCGTTTATTTAAATACAGCCAGCATGCATGGCAAGTAAAATGATAACTTGGACTGCTTAGAAACACAATAGGACTAAATAGCCAGGGGGGAAAGGGGGGAACCAAACCAAAAAAAAAACCCCCACAAATCACCAATGGAGTATATGTGCTGACACTTGAGGAGCACTGTGGTTTTGTGGGTTCCTTTCTTCTACCAAAATCACACCAAATTATTATGTTAACTGATAAAATGACACACAGATACATTAAAAAAAAAAAGTACCGAATGAAAACCATACACAGACTTACCTAATGGAAGGGTCAGGAAAGGGAAAAAAGAAAAAGCCTAAAGGAGCTGAGCTGCTTCTCCCCAATAGCACAAGACAGACATGGACCTGCTGGAGCGAGTCCAGAGGATGGCCACAAAGATAACCAGGAGGCTGGAAAAACTCCCCTATGAGGACAGGCTGAGAAAGTTGGGATTGTTCAGCCTGGAGAAGAGAAGGCTCCAGGGAGACCTTATTGCAGCCTTTCCATACTTAAAGGGGGCCTCAAAAGAAAAGGGGCAATCTTTTTAGCAGGGCCTGTTACAACAGGACAAGGAAGAACGGATTTAAACTAGAAGAGGGCAGATTTAGACTAGATACAAGGAAGAAATTTTTTTAAATGAGGGTGGTGAAACACTGGAACAGGCTGCCCAGAGAGCTGGTAGATGCCCCGTCCCTAGAAACATACAAGGTCAGGTTGGATGAGGCTCTGAGTAGCCTGATCCAGGCAAAGCTGTCCCTGCTCACTACAGAAAGGTTGGACTAGGCGGCCTTTAAAGGTCCCTTCCAACCCAAACTGTTCTATGATTCTGTGATCCATGCCAATAGCACGAGACACCCTTACGTTTGTGCTAGGCTGGCAGAGCCATCCACCTGTGGAACCTTCCTTCTCTCATTATCAGCAACAGACACAGCCCGAGTTAAACACACATCTTCAGACTTCTAAAGCTCTTCGACAACGACATTTATTTGCTTAGAAATTTTCCTGCCATCATTCATCACCACAATTTTGGAGGAAGATGTGAGAACCTTTCACCTTGCCTTTGAATATTAACTAAATATGAAATAGATACTTCTGCACAGCTTAATATGGTCTGACTGACATAAAGAGCCTGGATGCCCACAGCACCACATAAAGATTATGGCTCCTGACAAGAATCAATGGGACAACAGTTGAACTACATTTTCTTTCATTACTTACAATTTTTTTAATCCTATATCTTAATTTTCATACATTAAAATAATATGTTTAAACAACCACTTATCTATATTCCTCATACAAAGGCTGCATTAAGGAACACTTTGTATTTGAAATTAGTTCCGAAACAAAAAACTACTTGCTTCGAAAGAATGTTGGAAGACAGTTTCTACCAGCTTCTCAGGCTCCTACCTAAAAAACCCCCACAGGATTGTATAATGAGACAGACCATGTCACTAGGCTGTACCCTCAGTCTCCTCTAGGGAGACTCCATTCACCACAGGACCCAGCAGTTGGTGGGAGCTTTTATCTGCTTAACTGTGCACTGTCACGCAGAAAACAAACCACTGAGTAATATGGAAAGCGTGCCCATTAGCTGCATGAAGCACAGTGGGTCATACAGATGCACACCTGCAAAGCATGAGGCAAGAGCTATCGCAGCACACAACCTCCAAGCACAAGACAGACAGGTCTCATGCTATGGCAGGCTGCCTGAATCACAGGGAACTGTTATAACCATTAGAAAGGAATCGTGCACTCATCTTGTGAGTGGTGCTTCCAACAGGCAGCGCCTGTTGCATTTGTTCAGTACCTAGAATCAGTTTCCTCAGGAAGGCAGCACTGAGGCAGGTAAGAAACATAATCCTAACTTCCTCAGGGAAGGTGCACGTTCAAGCAAAAAACATTCAATCCTGAAAAGTGTCAGACCTGAAACATCTCAGGGTCTCTGATCTAGCTTCTGTGTCACAGGCAATATACAATGAATAGACAAATCTGGCTATATACCAGACAAGTGTAAGGAGCCAGATACTCTGAACAGATTCTCTGCTCTATAGTACAGCAACTGACACAACAAGATACTTTTTTTTGTTCTCCTTTTTGCCTTGTGTTGTACAGGGCAATTGTTATGTACTTACCCTCTCATCACCCTTTGGAACTTCTGCCTGAACTTTCTGGTTGTCAGATTGCTCATTCTGCCCTTCTTTTGGACTGCTGGCCTGACTTTTGTCGGGGATCAAGGTGGACGGCTCATGACCATTCTGAAGAGCAGGAGGAGCAGAAGAAGGAGGAGGTAGGTTGGGTTGTCCATTTGCTTCTTCTAGTAATAAGCATATCAAATCACCAGAAACGATCCCATATGAAGCTAAGGTCTTCTGATCTTCTGTGAGAGCATCTTTTCTGTTCAGTGTTATTGAAAACTTGGTATCAGAACTGCAAAACAGAAAAAAAGTAAAGAGACATGGTTGGCTGCATCTGGGTAACTGCACACAGAGGTATAGTTAGAAATGTACACTACAAACTACAGTAGTTACTATGCCGTGAGTTTTAATCCATCATTACCTACACATTAAAGGAAGAGTGAAGAAAAAAATATGGTATGAAATTATTTCCCCGAGGTTTCTCTCCAAGTACATTTTAAGCAGCCATAGCTGTTTGGTAAGTTAAACTTCATTTACAGTAACTGCTCACAAAACTGTTATGAAGGAAAGCAAACAAGGGCCCTCCAAATTAGAAAACATCACGCGTAGCAAAACAAGCTTTAAATAAGCTACTGGCTGAGATTATTTGAAAACAAGGTAATGTTGAAGACTCAAACATCTTGCTCTCTGATTAAGCAAAACATTCATTTCAAAACATTAGCAGCCGCCCTACAGCATGCTAGTTGCAAATGAGGGTAAAATAAGGAAAGATGCTTCAGGGCAAGCACTTACAAAAAAAAAAAAAAAACGAAAACAACAAATAGAAATGCAACTGGTTAGCATGAGAGCAGCTATCCAGTACCAGCTATAAAACACACCCACCGTGGCAAGACAGATTCCCAAAATGGCAGGAGATGGAAGGGACCTCTGGAGATCATCTAGCCCAACCCCCATCTGCTAAAGCAGGTTCACCCAAAGCAGGTCCCACAGGACTGCGTAGAGGCGGATTTTTAATATCTCCAGAGAAGGAGACTCCACAGCCTCCCTGGGAAGCCTGTTCCACCACTCTGCCACCCTTAATGTAAAGAAGTTTTTCCTCGTGTTCAGGTGGAACTCCAGAAAAGCTGTAACTTTCAGATTTCTCCACACTGCTATGCAATACAGTGCAGTGCTATCAAGTGCACATATCACCAGGGAAACACGGGCACACCGTACCTAATTAAAGGTTTGTGAATACAAACCCTTTAGCCACTGTCAGAAAATAAGCTCCTTTGTGTAGGCGGTTCTTAACTTGCTTTTGCAGACTTTCCTATAGAGGCTGCCGTGAGCTCTTCATAGATAAAACGTTACGAAATTTAAACACAGAAATTCTCCAAGAAGTCCGCAAAATTATAAAACTGCTATCCTACCGCCGTTTTCGGAACGTAAAGGCCACACGGAAATTTAAGTCGGCTCTGAGTGAGCTGCAATCCGCATTTCAGAGCTGGGCATGTCCCAAAGCCCGTTTTCCTTCCCCGCTCCGCAGTGACCCGCCGCTCCGGCCGCGGCCCTACCAAGCGTGACACGAACTTCAGCGACGTGTCCCCGTGAACCGGGTAAAACCTGCAGGCCGGCAACCTTTTAACCCCCCCCGTGATGTGCCACCCAGCGCCCG